GGACACGAGTAACCACAACTCACTACATTCGTTAATATTTAGTCATCTTTTTTTTTTTTTTTTTTTAAATTGAAGTTGTGATAAAAGGTTATTATTCAATATTTAATGATGAATTAGTGATGTTTTATTTCATCATTTTTGTTTTTATTTTTATAGTTGAATGCTTATATATTTTAATTTGCGATGGAAAAAGATAACATAGTGTTAATCTTTTATTTATCAACTTTGATAAATTCTAAAATAATCAACTGGTTTCTTAAAGATATATATATTTTTTTAATCAATAAGAAAATATAATTTCGACTCAACAAACACTAAATTAATAAATTACAATTACACTATTTTTATTTGTTATTTTTTATGAGTTAAAATATTACAAAATATTTTTAAATAAAAATAACTTTTAAAATCATCTAATATGATAAGTTGTTCAAAGCAGCCACTGTAATAAACTATCAACTACCAACAATAATTGTTTTCCAAACACAATTTGTTTGATTATGTTTTTTTATACTCATTTTTTTTTTTTGTACAAAAACCTATTTTACTTTTAAAAAAAATCAAATTAAACCAAGTAAACAAACTGTTGATGCAAAAAGTTAATTGAATTAATTAGAATATTATTTTATTATTTTATTTTATTTTATTTTTTTTTGTCCACTTGTCATGATTAATATGTCCAAATTTATTTTGTCCGATGATAGTGCTTATCATCACTTATGGCATTATAGTTGGGCTATAATAGGATCAATTTATTCAAATAAAGTATACTCTAAACGATAAGATTAAAAATTTAAATAAATAGTAATAACAATAATTAATAATAATAATAAATAATTAAAATCAAACACTACAGCACCTGGTTGGCTCCCAAAAACAAATAATATTTTAATATAATAGGAATAATAAGACCAGAAAGCGACGTCGTTTTCGCTTTTGCCTTTCACATTGCATGGTTCATTTTGGTCAAATTTGTCCTTTTTTGTCCATAATTGATTTAAATAAGGATAAAATTAAAATTAGAAAAAATAAAAATAAAAATAAAACGGGCCTACCTGGCCCAACATGCGTATGCTCTAGTACACGTAATCTAATATGAATTCAATTTAGACATAAATTTTTAGAATTTAGAAATATTTGATATAATTTTTTAAAAAAAAATATTATGCAACTAAAATCATAATATTTAATTATGTTTCGAAACTGCTATTTTTTTTTAAATTAAATTAGTCTATAAACTTTTTAATTTATATTTAAATCGGTCAGAATAGCTAAATTTTATACTTTTGTCGCATCCAAATGTCCATTTTATCATTTTTTTTACTACGTTGAAATCCGCAGCCGCTATGCGAAAATGAGCACTGGGTAAACCCCCGACCGATCCTAATATCTTGCAAATCAGGCCCGATAAAAAAGTCACACTAGGCTAACCATGTGTGGCAGGTAAGCAAATTTGTCGGAATGTCACATCAAATTATATACTACATCCGTTCAGTTATGGTTTCATTTATTTTTTAGGTATTAATTTTTTAATATTTATTATTATATAAAAATATAATAAAAATAAAAAAGAGATGACAAAAAATTTTTATCAGTGTCTTATAATACTATTATAATGATATTTATAAAAAAAAAATATACAAATATAAAAAATATTTTAAATATTAAATAAAATGACACAAAACTAAATAGCACCTTACCCCAAACGAAAAAGAGTATTTTTTTACTATTCAATTGGATGTACAATAAACTTCCACTATCTTCTCAAGTAAATTATCAAGGTATTATTGAAATTAAAAATTCAAACTCAAATTCAAACACAAACTAAACAAATCAAAATACCACTCTCTGTATATGTATGTGTATATATTTACTTTTGATATAATATTTAAAAAAAATATTATATTTAAATGGTAGTACTTTAGTGTGTTTGTTTGGGGAATTGGATTGAATTTATACTATTCATCTAAAATTTTTCCCACAAAAAATCAAATCAAACACCTATTTTTCATTTTTTATATTATACTAAAATTTAATTTTATATTCAAAATATCAAATCAACACTTATTTATATCACATCATACAACTATTCAAATTCAAAATTTTTACTATTCAAATCTCAACTCAAAATCCAAACTCCACACAAACACACCATAAATATTGGGCAAAATAAAATAATTTATTGAATTATGTTATGTATATAAATAAATCGATAGAACAGGTAAGAATTGATGGTACGACGCCGTACTGAGAACCACGTGGCATCCATCGTACGGGTATCGAGCTCCATGGGACCCACACTATTCTTAATACTAGCGGCAGTTGACTTCATCCACTTACGTGTCCCCATTTTACTATTATAATTATTTATTTATTTAATAATTTTCATTTCATCGTTTATCATATTTATATCATGTCATGTATTGATCTTCATAGAGCCTAGATTGAAATTGTAATAATTATTATATATTAACCGAAGTTGATCAATATATTTTTAAAGAAATATTATATATTATAATACATTTTATTAAAATTAAAATCAATATATGTTATTTAAAAAATCATATTTTCAGTAAATTAACAAATATAGCTATAGTACTTTTAATTTTGAGTTCGCTCATTTATTTATTTATTTTTATTGGTTTGATGTGCTTTTATTTTATTTAGGAAAAATTGTATTTCATTCGTCCCATAACAAAATATTCATTTGTCTTTTGCGTCATTGTACTTAACATTAAAAATATTTTTATATTTGTATAATTTTTTATACAAATATCATTATATTAGTATTGTAAGACATCAATAGAAGTATTTTTGTCATTTTCTCTTTTTTGTAATACGATTTGATATAATAATTAATTTTCAAAGATCAATACGCAAAAAGTAAATGAGTACCTTGTTATGGGACACGTATAATAAAAAAATAAACATAATGTACTTTTTTGCTAAAATAAGAATTAAAAACATTTTTTTTATGACAATCTAGAGAGAAAATTGTGAATATATTTTAACTGACTTGTGGAGTATTTTTTATGTAATTTTAATAAGAATATTATATTTTTATTCAAAAATCATACTCCTTTTGTCCCATAGCTATGTATGTACGTAGTTTTAAAAATATTAGTATTATATTGTAATATTAAAAAATAAAATATAAATGACTAAAATAATGTTATTAGTATTGTGTAATATAAATGTAATAATATTTGTGTAATATTTTGTAAGTTGTAAGGGTATTTGTAATGTCAGGTAGACAGTACAATTACTAAAATTGGAAATGGATACTTTGTTGGACGGACTAAATTGAAAAAATTAATACTTTGTTATGAGATGGAGGGAGTATATAAAATGACAACAATAATTTTGTAAAAATGATAATATATGTTTTTATGCAAAACGATAACTATTATTTAGTTTTAAAAAAACTGAAATAAAATTCCAGAAAAAACTCAAACATACACAACTTTCAGTCTAAAAACAAAAACATACACAAATTTTGTTACACTCACATCACATGTCCATATTACTACTTTAGTCCATTTCAACTTTTTACGTGCATCTTTTTGGAATAATAAAGTAAAAGTAAAAAATAAAAATAAAAAAATCAAACACCAAAAAATAAAAATCAAAAGAATACAATTTAGAATTGAATTCTTTATTCTATTGTATATATCTATATATTTCAATCCCAATTAATTTAAAATTAATCATAATTAGTTTCTACTCTCGAAGCCATGCTACAAGCTCAAATGTCGATACCTTATAAGAAATATATATAGCAGCTATCATTCCTTATAGTTTAGATTTGATTTGGCATTATTTATTATAAAAATAATTAAATGTAATATTTATTTTATTATAAAAAAATTAATAATTTATTTAAAATATAACATCAAACATCTTTTATAGTAGTATTATATATTACCTTCGTTCCTAAACAAAATAACTGATTGTACCTGTATATTTTAAAATTAAAATTTTTAAATGAGACGGTTAACTGATTGTACCTGTATATTTAAAAATTAAAATTTTTAAATGAGACGGTTATTCTTATCATTTAACATGTCATCAGAACCATACTTTTATAACATTATTTTAACAAATGATATTCCTTTAGTTCGTATAATTTTATGAATATTTTTGTTAAAAATATATATATATTTTTTTATCTTTTATACTATCATATCTAAAATAAAAATATTTTAAAATTTATATGAAAAATATAAACAAATACATAGACCGAAAATATATATTATATTAAAGTATATATTATATTATTTTTTAATAATAATTATGAATTGTATCTAAAAAATACAAAAAGAAAACAAACTCATAATATTATATTTATTATAATTTATATAAAAATCAAAAGTAAACATGTACTATATTTCGAATTAAAAAATATATTAGTAAAAATAATTATAATATAGTAAAAAAAATATAAAATTTAAAATGATATTAAAATATATAATTATATTTAAAAAATGGAAATGACAAATTATGTAAAATAAATAAAAAAATAGAAATAAATTATACAAAATAAAGAAAATATTTATTTTACAAATTACTACTCCCTCCGTCCCATATGTCATGTCTACGTTGCCGTTACTATCCGTCCCATATACCATGTCACTTTTCTTATATGGAAAATAATTATACATTTTAATCTAATTTTAAATTTTTAAATTTTATTTTTTTAAATTTTAATTAAATTAATTAGTTATTTTAATTTTAATTTATAATTATTTATATTATATAAATAGACACAACGGATGTAGTATATTATTAATATATTATTTAAATTCAAAATACAAATCCAACCATAAACACACCCTATACACGCACTCAAAAAATAACACGTGCAACCTACGCTCGAGTCAAGTGGAAAATTCAATCGGTAAACAAAACAACAATTAATTAAAATTAATTTATTAATAAACTAACTAATTAATTAAGAGTGCGCGCAACAGCGACAGCAACCGCAGAAGACAAATAAATGCCCTCCTCCAAACGACGCTTCAGTTCTCTCTCTACCCACTCTCCCCTTCTCTCTCTTTAAATTCCCCAAAATTCCTCTCAATTAATCGATTTAATTGAGCGGCGATGAAGAAGCTGATGAGGAGGCTTTCCAAGGTCGCTGATTCGTCGCAGTACTGCCGCCTCGGCGAGTCTCTCCGGCGAGTTCCGGGGGGTCACTTGCCGGTGTACGTCGGCGACGAGATGGAGAGGTTCGTGGTGAGCGCCGAGTTGCTGAACCACCCAATTTTCGTGAGTCTGCTCAACAAATCGGCGCAGGAATACGGTTACGCGCAGAAAGGCGTTCTCAGAATCCCCTGTCACGTGATCCTCTTTGAGCGCGTGCTCCACACGCTCCGGTTCGGTGGGGAGTCACGTGACCTTCACGACCAGGACCTCCTTACTTGGCTCTCAGACGAGCAGGTCGCTGTGTCTTGGGACTAGCGCCGATCCCGCCGGCTGCGATTTCTTGTTGGACTAGCTAGGCTCAACTCAAGTCGGCTACGGAACGCCGCGCCGCCGCCGCCGCCGCTGTAGCTTTTAGAATTTAGACTTGTTTTTTTTTTTTATTTTTTATTGTGGCCCTTGAGTCTTGGTTGTAAATAATATATTTGGAAATTGAGTGGAAAGTGAAATTGTTTTGTTATGTTTTGTTTATTTATTTAAAGAAATTTATACTTTAATGTTTCTTAGGGTATGATTCTTTAGCCTAATTTCTTCAAATTTTACTATTTGATTTCTGTTTTTTTTTCAAGTGAAATACATTTTTTTTTTATAAAATATTTTATTAAATATTATTTTCACATTAAATTCAAATTATTTTTTTTTTCAAATTCATAAAAAGAAACGCACCCTTAGTTTTGTTGATAGAAGGTAATAATTTTATGTGTTTGGAGGTTTGGATTTTGAATAATAAATTTTTTGAATTATAATAGACGTACGATATGATATAAATAGGTATAAATAGGTGTTGATATGAAATTTTGTATCTAAAATTAATTTTTGGTATAATATAAAAATTAAAAGATAAGTATTTTATTTAATATTTTTTTTAAAAAAAAGTTGATGAATAGTAAGATTTGGGTGAAATTCTACAACCGAAAACACCCTAATCATTCTTAAAGAATAAACTCAAATGAGCTCTCAAGTTGTTAGTGATCAGTTCATAATTTATTATTGTTATTATTATCATTACTACTATTCTTGTTAGGGACGTGTTTATATTTTATACTCCTAGTTTATTAAAAATAATTAAAGAATATCAAAATAATAATGCGGAAATGAGTATTTAAAAATAATAATAATAATATTTTTTTGTCCCAAATAAAATGTTTAATTTTTTATTTATTTATTCTATGCAATTTGTTTTTTAAAATATAATTATATATTATAATCAAATTTAAAAAATTTATAATTTTAATTATATTAATCTTAATTTATAATTATTTTTATTATAAATTAATAATTGTTATTAGTATATTTTTAATTATATACCAATTATATTTAATTTAAATTTTTGTATACGAACATTTTATTCGAAACGAAAGAGTAATAAATAGCACATGATTGAACTGAAAACACATGTAATAAAGAGAGCTTGTTTAATATAGACACATGTTTAATTACCATTTTGCCACTGCATTCACACCGAAGTTTCTGTCCGACACCAGAAAATAGTCAAAAGCGGCAGATGGATAAAGCCAACTGTACGGACCGTACAGAAGAGGAACGGAGAGCAGATATCAGCCGGTAATCGCGCGATTTAGGACACGTGGACACAAGAAACTCTACACCGTTGGATTAGTAGGAGAGCCAGGGGTAGATTAGTCAATACACCCATTACAATCGAACATCGCTAGATACTGTTTAGAAGTGCTCCGGAACGAAGAATCTTTAACATTAAATTTTGGTGGCTCAAAATTAATGATTCTTTTTTTAAAAAAATAAAAATAAAAAATCCGTGATTCTAATTAGTTAAATTGTTCTGTTCAAAGATTCAGGTTAGCTGTACTCAACCAATAAATAAATAAATAATAAATAAATAAACTTGGTGGCTCAAGTCCCCAATTTTATACAACTTGGATTAATTTTATTTTTTATTTTTTTAATGAAGTGAGCATTCCACCTGTTGCTTTATTTATTTTAAAGAAAATTCCAGGAAAATTCATAATATATTTTAAAATCAGTAAAAGTAACTGAGTTGATTTTTATTTTTTATTTTTTTATTTTTTATTTACCAATAGATGTATGGGTTATATATATAAACACTGGTTTTCATCAAAGACGTCTGAAAGCAAGCATTCTCCAAATGCACATAATTTTGCACGTGCGAAACGCACGTCAGGTTCACAGTTCATAACCGAACACGTGTGCTTTGACCTAGCTATAAATTAAATTAATTTATATTTCTCTTTGTTTTTTTGTTTTCTTTAATTTTTGTATTAGGTGGATAAAATAACTAGGGCCATATTTGTATACATTTTTTTTATTTTTTGTCATTTAATTTCATTTTTTCACAACTTTATAAAATCAAATATCTAAATTTGTATTATTATAAAATATAACATTTTCTAAAAATTCCTATCTAAGTGAAGCATTTCAGAGTATCGATTAGTAATAATTCTTGACTTACGTTACATTTTAAATGTTAATTTACCTTCAAAAGTGTCCCCTTATTGACCAATGTGCAAAGTTGCTAATGGGCCTATTTGGATTTGGGCTTTATATGTGCAGCCCAAATATATATTTATATATTGCAGAGCATCCTACCGGAAAAAAAGAACAGTACATTAGAAAGATATTTAATTCACATTTAAAATATTTACTCCTTCCGTCCCTCCCAATGCAATAGTCATGTTTACCATTTTTGTCTGTCTTAAAACAATAGTCTCGTTTTCATAAATAACCATATCACTATAAAACTACCGTTAATTTTTCATTATTATATTACATAATTGTCACTACTTTTTACATCAATACACTCACAAAAGCAAAAAAAATCTTTTTCCCGTACTTTTTACCCACTACCAATATAATATCAATATTCTTTTATTATTATTACACAATTGCCACTATTTTTTACACCAATACACTCACAAAGGCAAAAAAATCTTTTTCTCATACTTTTTACCCACTACCAATATAATATCAATATTTCTTAAATCACGCGTCAAACACAATTTAAACTATAGTTTTGGGACAGAGGAAGTATATATTAAATATTTTATAGAATATATATAATGTAATATCTATTTTGCCTTTAACATTAAAGTAAAAATAATATAAAAAGTAAAAAGTAGGAATATTTTGATATTTAATTTATAGTTATTTTTATTAAAAAAATATATAGACTATTTCCGTTTAGTAGTTCTTAATTTTCACTTTAAAGATATAATATACTTCATTTAATTAAGTTCCCAATATACTCCTTTTGTCATTAAAAAAACTTATTTTCACTTTCCTTTTTAGTTGTTATCTAAATTTATTCTCGTTTTATTTTTTAGTAAAAAAAATAATATTTTTAACTCTTTTTTTACTATAAAAATAGTTTTTATTTTTACAAATTTTTCTAAAAATTTGTATCCGGTCAAATAAACATGAATGTACACGATGGAGGGAGTATATAATATACTCATTTGTCGGATCACAAACGTAATAAAATAATAATTAATATACATAATTTAGAAAATGTAAAATGTAAGTTTAAATATTAAAATCTATACTAAGCGAGACCTGAAAATATCGGGGTATGAACTCATGACCTTATAGTCTCGAGTCTACCTATACCATCAAACCATTTTTTACGGGACAAGTATATTATAAAAACATATTAATTTAATTTTAATTTTAATTTAGTGTATTCATGTTGGGATTTTTATTATAAAAACATCTTAAAGGCTTTGAATGCAAGTGAAGGAGATATTTATTTATTTTTTCATATAGTAATTAATCATATGAATGAGTGAATGACATTTTTATTACATTACCAACCAACCAGACATTCAATGTTGTTTACATAAATTTATTTTATTTTTCAACATATCATTTCTTACGCCAAAAAAGACTTAAGGCTGTGTTTGGTTGTTATTTGATATTCTTGAAATGGGGTATTGCAATAGATATTTTTTTTAGCAGGTATTTTGATGTAATATTTTATTAATAAAAATAGTATTATTATTTTTTCTTTAGAATCATAGTAATTGATTCATTAATCAAACAATAGATATTTTTGCTATGCAAGTTCAAACCACAACCAAACATTAGATTGATTAATGTGAAAAAAAATAAAATAATAATAATACTTTTTAGTGCGAGTATTGAAATGACCTTAATTTTAAAGTAAATATATGTGTACGTTTAATTCTAGAGTTCTTTTAAGTAGGTGTTCGAAAATAAATATGCAAATTGTTAATATGATTAGTCTATTCAGTCCACTTATTTTTTATTTAATTTCTGATGACCTAGCATAAGTTAATTCACTTGTCCGCTAATTGTTAATTCTTTTATCCGCTAATTTTAGTTTTATTTTTTTTGTAAAAATACAAAATAGTGGGCTAAAATTGACATACGAAAAATATATTTTTTTTTCAAAAATCCTACATCCAATTTTACTTTAAAAACTTATATATTCAACAACAATTTTACTTTTTAAAAAAAAACACTAAAATAGAAAATATATGAAATTAAATGACAAGGTATTGTTTTTGTTTGCGATATTTTGTGTTAGATTTTACTATTAATTTTTTTTTCTTAAAAATATTAAATTATATATATAATAATATTTATTTATTATATTGTATTGAAATTTAATTTTAATTTTAATTTTGCATTCAAAATATTAATTAATACATATTTATATTAAATCAAACAATTATTTTGATTTAAAATTTTATTATTCAAAACTCAAATTCAAAATAAAAAAGCCCCGCAAACAAACACACAATAATACGTATACAATCCTTTGATCATTTCTTACAAATATACAATTTATTATTATTATTATTATTATTATTTTTATTTATTATTATTATTATTATATTTTTTTTTTTATCACAAAATATGACTTTAAAACAAAATTCTAAAATCAAAATTTAAAACCAAACATAAAAATTACAGACCATGCAACTTGTTCGTTGAAACTTTGTATGCATATTTTTGGATCTATGTTAACTTAATTATTAACAATTAATGCACATAGATATACAACATATACATATTATCCTTAAAACGAACATTGTAATAATTGCTACTTCAATTATTTCATAGAGGTGAAAAGTCTGGGGTTTCTTGTTTGTTTGTGTTTTTAAACATGTCTTAAATTACAATAATATATATATATATATAATCTTTTAAAAATATTCATCATTTATTTTTATAAGTAAATATTTATATTGAAAACTGACATCACAATTCAAATTTTTTTTATTATTATTATTTTTAATTAGAAAAAATCACTTAAAAATTATTATTATTATATTACTATATTAAACAGAACAAGAAGATACAAATTGTCAGAACACACAAACAAGCAGAACCTTGCAGGGCCCAGAGAGTATAAATTTTGGACCCACATGCATAATCATGAAGTTCACACACACATGCGTGCGTGTGTGTGTGTGTGTGTGTTTGGATTACGTATTTATATGT